GACTAGTCCATAGGTTCAGTTACATTAGTTAGCAGTGGGGAGGAGGCCAGGATCTACAGTATCTGGGATACTGGTATCGGGCTCTCTTGTGAGGAGTAATAGGATGAAGCTGCTGCTGCCAAAAAGGCCAGGGTGTCAGTGTCAGCTGCATCTATGGCTTCATTACCGAAGACCTTCTGGAGTGTGGTTCTGAAACCGGGTAGTTCTTGTTGGAGGGCCACTATGGCTGGTGGCTTTGTATTTCCTGTGAGGAGGACATAGCATGCGTCTGAGCACCCCAGTTCCTATCTGACCTCAGGGAAGGTACTTCCCCGGACAACAATCCTGTTTCTGACATTGATCATGGTATTGGGGCAACCCCTTTGGTACCTGATAGTGGCAAACATGGGAAGAGTTGAATTGAGGCTTACACATTGCAGGAAGCCTGGTAGGAGGAGGCTGGGAGAATTGACCCTTGAGCTCTTGGTAGGGCCTCTGGGTCCTCCTAGTGGAGAGGGAGAGTGAGGGAGGTACAGCAAAGCCGGTGATGAGGGTTGAGAGGTCATGGTGAGTGAGTAGGATGGAGGCCTGTGATTGGCCATACCACCTAAGGGAGGAGTATCGTGGGTGAGGGGGTAGAGTAGTTTTTTGAGTGAAAATTCTGGTTGTACCTGATAAAAAGATGATGTGTACACAAACAAAAATAAACTTGGTGTGGTTGCAGGAATGCCCCGCTAACTGTACCGGAATTTCCGAAATTTTTCTCGCTCCGTGTGTGTGTATGTGTGTGTGTATGTCGTGTGTGTTCCGGTGTGGAGCATGAGGGTGGTCTCACCGAGTGGCCAAATACCTCTAAACGAACTAGAGATAGTACTCGTAGATATGCGCCCCAACTTGAATACTGGTATCCGACTTCTGCAAGGATTTTAAATCCTTTATCTATACCAAGTTAGGGAGTGCTTAACCGTCAACACTGCCCAACAAAGTGATATAGCACTTGCTCACGGGGGATAAGACCGGCTTCACGATTTGGCGGTTGCGCAACAAGGGCTGGAGGCTTGTAACAAATCCATTAGATATCATCTTCGTTCCCACAAACGGACTCATACATACTGGTATAAGCCTACCTACCAAATAAAGCTCATGAAATTGCAAAAGGTGTATAAATCGAGTGCCGCCTGACCAATTTGCCTTGAGTATGCCCCCCCCCCCTTCTCCTTCAATTCATATATGATCGTTCACGTGATGCCAGAAGAAGAATTCCGGGCTGCCAATCATCACTTCTGTCTAACGCCGCGAACGCCCGGAACCAGTGGGTCGAAGAAATTCAAACATGGGATGAGAAAAGAAAAGAAAATACTGGAAATAATGGTAAAGCATGCCGTTCGTCGCAACTGCTGTGCTACGCTCGGGGAAACCTGTTGCATCCAAGTCTAGCACCAACTTACCACTTACCCCAAGCTAATCAGCAACCCCTTCCTCAGCTATGATTTCTCCAGTCCATTTTTCGATTCACTGGGGTGAGGTGATCCCTGCGTGCGTATCTCACTGCATATGAAGGTCTTTATAATATATATAAATTTGTGGCATTTCTCCAGGGACAGGGACTCAGGGAGCGAGTGACATCTCATGAACGCACTTGGGAATAATCCCATCAATTGATTTCCGGGCGACGAGGAATGTCAGATGGTCCGGGGTGTATACAAGCAAAGCGCGCACCCCGGGAATAATATACGATGCCTTGTAAGCGTGTTCCTCATTGTCGATCGATCGCTTGCGCTGTTTCAATCTTTACGAGGGTCTCCCACCGATATAGGCGAAATACCGGTATTCCCTTAAAGGAAGTCCATACTGTGAGCTCTCCGTGCCTAGCTCGGAAAGTGATAGTCGATTTCCTTTTCCCCACTTTTGATTTTTTGACTGATTGGGAGATATCGCTAGCGCGTATACATATGGCCTCGACTTACCTCTTTTGCGGAGATGTTCTCGCGATGTCTGAATAGGGATATGGTTAGATCGGTATGCCGCGAGCCTCACTTTGGCGTGAGAATGTTTAATGCGGTTAAGCTGGAGTATGGAGCTACGATAGCACATCTGGGTTCGCAAATCGAGGGTCACCGTCTTTAAAAAAGCCTTTTGTGGATAAGTTACCACAAAATCGGTTTCTGGGGAAACCCAAGGCGGTCGCTCTCGTAGGTGATGACATTGGAGGGTCATTCAAGTCCAGACTTAGGTTAGATAGTGACTTCTCAAGTCCGAGCATCGACCAACGCGCCCGAGCACACTCGTATCCTCTCTATGAGAACCTGATGATATCTAGAAATAGAGGTGCCAAGATCCTCGAACCTGGGAGTAAAACACCGATTTTTGGCTTTTTTTATGTCTGAACACTCTATGAACTGATGACACATAGATCATGACAGTCCTTAAACTTCTACTCGAGTAATTCCCCATACTCGGCAGTTCCCCCATGACGATTTCCGGTTGGAAGTGGTGGCTAATATCGTGCTGAAGTGTGCTTATCGGTAATTTGATAAATTACCGTTTTGGGACTACCGATGAAACTATTTAGCTAATCTTGGACCATAAGGACGAAGAAACACTGACGGATGAAGACTCAACTATTTTGATATATAGCCACAAATTCCGTAATATTATGAGAGAATTTTGCTTTAAGTAGGCGCGTCCGCTCAGTTCATTAGCAGTATATCTTGGCAAAAGATATTGGAGTAATTATTCTGCTCCGAGACAATGCGATACATTTGGGACAAAAAATGAGTCCCTATTATTTATTTCATCATGCGTCCCAGAAGCTTGAGAATGGTCTCTAAAAGATTGAAGGGTCACGAAAGAGTAACTGAACGGAAAACCATGATAGTATCATACCTCAAGCCACGGTGTGGCCCCATGCGGGCGCAGTATGACTTGAGAGCTTGGGCTTTAAAATAAGACCCGAAGAAAAAAAGAGAAAAAATAACGGGGTTACCGCACCGGATAAATAGCGTTCGTGCCGAGTAATTGTGGAACTGCAAAACCTTCAGGGCTGTCAATATTCCCAATTTTTTTTCTTTAGATTTTGTAACATTACTTGATCTTCGACTGCAACCGGGTCGTAATTTCCCCGCGAAGCACCAGATAGGCAGAGCTCTGGGGTGAAGCAAAGAAATCTTCATGGAATCATTACCATGACCCTTGGATTGGTTATGAAAGCCGACTTCGCGGGGGAAACGTGAAGATGTTGACTTTTCTCCCGCCCGGTAGCATCGAAATTCCATCTTAGTATTTAGCCCCCGGAGAGGTGGGACGCGAAGCACGAGAGTCCTTCGGACACCCGGAGTGGAGCCCTAATTCCAAGCTATGAATGGCGAATCCTGGGAAGTTTAAGCCTGCTCTGAAATATTTAGTTTTCAGGGTTCTAGTTTCGCCTGAGAGCAGGGGTATGATACGGTATTGCATACTTCCTAGTCACTACCGGAATTGATTCGGTATTAAGCAATTCAAAAAACGGTGTTTGGGTCGTTACCGCACTATATTCGATCCGAGCCTATTCAAATAGTTAACCTGGGTGGAGCAGAAGAGGAGATGGAGAAAGGTTGGGTGGAGATACCAAACGGTAGTAGAGCCTGGTCTTGAACCTGGGGGCAGGCGGGTACCAGAAACTGCCTCTTTTTCCACAATACTTCCGGCTGCAAGAGCTCCTGGAAAGGTGTTATAGGAGAGGCTGGGGTTTATGAGGTTCATTTCCTCCGCAGCGTTGGATGCAACATAGGTCAATCACGCGAAATCCCAACATTGGGTCACTTATGACAGTCAGTCAGAGGATGTGTTTGCTGTCAAACGATCAAGAAATTCCTCTCCTTAGCCTGGGTCTGTAATCCTCTTCTCTGGGTAAGATCGAAATAATCGGATCAAGGTCACTCTCGTGATCTGTCGTGATATGTTAGGGAGTAGGATGGTAGGGACTAAATGAGTGTCCTCTTCCATTTCTAAACAGTTTGTATATAATTACTTTTAACCAACCTAGAAACGTCTCTCCCGTTCCCGATATACTCCTGCCAGACCCGTTCATTTTATGGATGAGCTATACACATCTTCCACTCGATACACAGCCTCTTCACCGGATCGCTGAAACAATTGTTCGAGGGCGGGGTAGTCTCCCTTCACAAGAGGAGTGAGTACATAGGGAGTCAACACCAAACAAAAATATGGATAATCGAAAGCGAAGATTCCCAAGAGCTGGCCCTGTGATGAACCCGATAGGAACAGATACAACTAGCGCTGCATGATCTCATGAATCAAGCTAGCTTCTCCGATTCTGTGGCATCCACGGGGAACACGGCGCCAAGATTGCAGGTGGGAACTGCTGGGCAATAGAGGGAATCTGTTTGTTACGGCTGGTCAATAAAGTTTGAGCAAATACTGTACATGTGGATTGCTATAGTCAGAAGTCTCGATAGGGCACTCAGAGTCCTTGCATTCTTTGACTTTAATATCATTACAGCATCGTGTTAGAAGAGAGAAAGAGGAGATGAAATTGTATTGTAGACGACAATGATCCTAACTAGAAGAAAAAGGAGAGAGTGAAAAGAGAGGAGAGTATGGTATCCAGGAGGATAAGCTCATGAACAAGAAGGTGACGTAAGTGGTGACAGAGTCTCGCTTGAGACTATGGCAACGGTACAGCTATGATTTCTAACACATCGTGCTGCCATCAAAGAATAATCATAAGAGATCACTCGGCGTGGTTTCGAGGTTCTGGGTTCTGGGTTCGGGTGCTGTGGGCCATCAGGGTTGGTCCATGTTTGTGGGGGATCCACCGTTTCGGTGTGGGCTTTTAGAACATCGGAGTTTGTAAACACGAGAGTTCTTTATCACAGAGGGTGCTGTCCTGAGGCTCACGCGGGGTATCAGCCACGAAAGCTCAGCCATGTAATCACATGACCTGGAGTTGCCTTTAGGGAACAGCCCAGAGCCCTAGACTAAATTTCTCTGGGCCACCTCATCTTAAACCTTCTCTTAAACCTTCAACCACAACCACAACAACCAAGAAGAGGACTACCTCCACCTCACCCCTTTACCACAAACACAAACACAAACACAATAATCGTCTATTACGGCCAAGTCTCATAATGTCCAGTGGATCCAATTTCGTCCCAACCAACCAGTACCGGCATTTACGGGCGTGTATGGTCTGTTCAGTAGTTCAAACTCAGCAAGTGTGTTCATTGTAAGCCGATTGCTTCCATATGGTAGCTAACACGGGCGCAGAAATTTATTAAGGATGGCTGCCCGAACTGCGAAGACTACCTGAACTTCCGCGGCCAACCTGACTTTGCCGACGATTGCACCTCACCGGTTTTCGAGGGCCTTATCACACTCCGCGACCCAAAAAACTCTTGGGTGGCTAAATGGCAGAGACTTGACGGATATCGCAAGGGAGTTTATGCGGTGAAAGTTAGCGGGAATGTAAGCCAACCTTCAGTGTCAAAAGCTACCGCAGTAGCCCTCACCTCACCGCTGCTCTTAAATTGCTAGCTGACCGTTTTCTCTCTTTAAACGATAGCTTCCAATAGAGGCCCTCGATATGCTTGCTTCTCACAATATCGAGTACCGACCCCGCGATGGAAGTGACGTTAACCAGGATTGACCAATCGGATATCTTCGATGTTTTCTTTATTCTATGTCTACCAATAATCTGCCGGCGTGTGGAAAAAAGTTTGTCCTGAGACCCTCAGTTCTGTCGCACCCGAGAAGCTTAGTTGTTAGTGGCCACTCAATGGGTATCCGACCAGATCTCGCCATGTCACAGGAGCTCTAAGGTTTCTAGTTTAGGGGGATTTAGCTGTTGGAGCATTGCCTATGTGCTAATTTGCCGTGTGGGGGGCTTGAACAAAAATCAAACCTGGTTGTGGGGGCCTCAGACAGACATACATACAGCGCCGTCAAGATTTTTTTTTCTTCATTCTCCTTTTCGGCCATTGGTTGCTTACTACAAGGGGCCCCTCTGGGATTCCCCTAACAGATTTCTCGTTTAATTTTCCCCCTCCACGTTAGAAATAGAAATCGCAAGTTGAAAATGGATTGATTGAGAAATACTCAGAGTAGATGGAGTGGAACCCCTTGCCATTGTGTGATCGTAAAGTTTCCGAGTTTCCACTCATGAACCTTCTCTTCTATATTATGATACAATAGTGCAGAGCCGTGCAATAGCTTACCCTCAAAATTATGATTTTGATTTCTGTCGACTTTAGCTATATGCAGCTATATGCATGTGAACTAAGCTCTTTTGCATCGCCAAACGCACGCCTCTAATAGGTTCATTCTTATATTATATCCAACAATGTCACCACATCTCTTCCCCCAGATTCAGGCCGCCGCTTCTCCAATGGACTGCCACCCACTGGCTCTAGGAGAAGATTGCTAGTGTTAGGTAGAAAGGAAACAAGGAGGCTTGGTATCATAATATTATCAGAAGGTAGCCTCATAGCTCTCTAGTTTTAGCCTCAGGGTTAGGCAATACTTAGGTAGGGTACGTGGAAGAACCCTTCATGCCCCCACTTTTCTGGTGCTTTTTAGGGTCCTCCTTCATATCCAATCCGAATTATGGATACTCTGTTGAAATAGATAATCAGATTCTTGGTCAGTTTTCTTGAGCGCCTCGATCTGTCTGGACAGCTTCCATGTCCTGCGCCACACAACTATAGGTTACACAAGTGCCTCCCAACACCTCTTAAGAGGTGGGGCAACCAGCCCTGACAGCAAGGGAAAAAATTAATAAAAATAACGGTAAAGGTCTTATAATATTATGCCATTAATTTTTTCAAAAATCCCCTCAAATGCCACAGTACCCTCAGATGCCACAGAATTTGATTATGTAAGTTTTTTTATAATTAATTTTAAAATTTTGATTAAAAGAAATTTTTGCATAGTAGAAAATTCAGAGAAAGAAAAGTCTAAGTACATACATCAGAGAGAATTGCACTATGAAAAAGAGGTTTACTAGTCATACAAGCAGTGACAAGTAGGAAGAAGTACAGAGAGTGCAGAGCAAGAAGCAAAGAGCTGAGGGAAATGAGCGGAGAACATAGAGTTAGGAGCGAAGAGCAAAGCGAGGAGAGAATAGAGCAAAGGATGGAGAGTGTGGGATTCTAGAGTACTGTAAAATCTCTAGAAATCTACTATCTCCAGTCTGTTACAAATATCCCCATAACTGGTGACTTTTACCTAAGATAGATTTTGATTATGAAGTTAATAATGTAACCGGTATGGTTATTGGGTTTGTTTTATGTTATGTTTTAAGTATCGCTTTGATACTTGGTTTGTTTTAAGTATCGTTTGATACTTGGGTTTGTTTTATGTTATGTTTTAAGTATCGCTTTGATACTTGGTTTGTTTTAAGTATCGTTTGATACTTGGATTTGTTTTATGTTATGTTTTAAGTATCGTTTGATACTTGGGTTTGTTTTATGTTATGTTTTAAGTATCGCGTTGATACTTGGTTTGTTTTAAGTATCGTTTGATACTTGGTTTTGTTTTATGTTTTGTTTTAAGTATCGCTTTAATACTTAAAGAGTTTTACCAAAGTGTATCGATTGATACCTTTGATTAGTTTCGTTCATGCTAGACATGAACAGATTTGTGTATTTAAAGACTGCCTGTTTCTACGATGGAAAAGGCAGACTTCGACAGACAGTATTTCAATATACTTGGTTGAACGGTTACTTCATTGTTCCCCAGTACACCCTCAAAGCCTCCTTTAGTTCTCAGCTCTCGCCTCCCCTCTGGAAGAGCAGGCCACCTGCCAACTATCGTACCTATTACCGACAACGTGATTAGCACCTTGCGAACACGTTACAAATAAGATCTAACATAAACAAGTAACTCAGGCTATACTGTGTCGGGAAAATACTAATTCTTTTAAGAACTTTTGACTTAGAATCCAAAGAGTACAGGCTACTGAAAATGGTAGATTGTAGAAGATTATATGGTAGGAGGAAGAGTGAGAAAGGAGGGGGGAGGTAGATTGGCTGAGGAGGTGAAGTAGTGGAAGGGGAGAAAGTGTTAGGGAAAAATAAAGTTGAGTTAGAGAGAAAAAAGAATGGTGAGGTAGAAAATACCTGTTCCTGTATAATAGGAATTCTCCTTTACCAGTGCCAAGACTAAGTAAATAATTTATATTGAGAAAACCTAATTTGTATTTAATTTACATAGAAGCAAAACTTACATAATATATTCCTGTGGCATCTGAGAGTACTGTGGCATTTGAGGGGATTTTTTGAAAACATTAACGGCATATGAGACCTTTACCGTAAAAATAAAGAAAATTACATGCATACGGTACATGCCATACGAGTATCGAGGTGAGATTGTGGCTTGTTTGATCTAGGGGAGACTAGTACCGCACATTGTTAAGGCACAGCTTGGGGAAGGGGAAATCGCGAGTCCGAGTTTATGTTTCCTTGATATGATTCCATAGTTGGCTACAGAGCGTTTCTTAATACAGTCGAGAAGGGCCACCTCCGTCTTGCACAGTGTATAAAGCGCTCAGTGAGGCGCATTGAAGGACAGGCGGAGTCGTGGTGTAGGATGCTAGATCATGATACGGGTACATATCAATCCCCTTCCGGTCGATATTATATATGGAGGGGTTTTGTTTAGGAAAGACCGACCATGAGACTCCAGGGCCCTGCCCCGGTTTTCTTTCTTTTTCTCACTATCCTTCCATGGCTTGATTTGGTTTTTATTACCACATATCCCCACCTTCTCTCCGGGAAGATACTCTGGAATAAACCTATCATGGTGTATCACGAGGACTTTGGGAGCACCAAGTCGGTTGAGAAAGAAGGAGGAACGGAGAGCGCCATTGGCGCATATTAGGCCCTTTCAGGTGAAGCTAATACCTCCGAGGCACTTGCGAGACCTTGCCAGATCTAGACTATTGGCCGTTTGAGTTTCTCCACCTGGACAAGCAGTTCTGACTAAGCCGGCTCAAATATTTGTGTGCACGCTGGCTCTTCCCCTTCCCCGCTTTTCAATAGGAGGGTTCACAACCTAGAGACGGAGGTGTTGGTCCTCCTGTTCCTGCAGCTGGTCAATATTTCGGAAAGAATAAGAAGAAGAAAAGGAGTTTCTCCACGATGATCTCCACGATGATGATGACCACTTCCACCTTTTGATTATAATATTATATTATAATTCTTTCGTGATTCATTTTCTCAATGCTCAGGTCTCGCAAATCTCCCGCACCGAGAAGGGGCCGAGGGCCGGGCGTCGACCGAGCCCCCGGACAGCCGAAGAAGGCTGCGGCCACAAGCCCCGACCCGGGAGGCGAGGAGTGGTGATGATGGTGTTGGAACTGGGGTCACACTTGAGCACCTGCTTGTGCCAGGCGTTGTATCTTTTGGTCAAGTGTGTAGGCTTTCACGGCGATGGCACTTGTTACCATAGTATCATTAACTCTCCCTCCTCCATGACTAGCTACCATATCTGTTTGTCTATACCTAGAGACCTCTAGATATTTCTGTGGTATCCTTTAATACGTGAAGCACACTTTGCATTCTTCCCCCCCTCCCGTCAGGTACCATAATATTATTATACTCGAGTACTCGTAAATTTAGAGGGCTAGCGGCGGACTCTGCCATGTTGTTCCAACGAAGCTGGGCGAGCTAGTCTATCGAGTCCCTTGTCTAATCCTGCTGGCTACCAACCCGCGCTCCAGATTCTCGGGGATGTGAGGCAAAAACACTAGGTTCGCAGACTACTGTAGAAAATGGTGCGGAGCTATATAGTAATATACAGTACAGCCACTACCGGTACATGTTGTCGGAGAGAGGAGAGCCCCACCATTGATCCACCCACCCTTTCATCACTCACGATACCTACCAAGCGTCAAGCATCACTTCACCACAACTGTCCAATCCAATCTTGTCTTCTTTCTGTCCAGTGAGCACCAGGCACCAGCCGGAGGCCACCTTCCAATCCCTACGCGTCCACATCCCTTAAATCCTACCCACCGTCTCATCCCTCTTCCGTGGACGCCACTGCGCGGGGCCCCACCTTGTCTTAGACACCTGATACGGTATCTAATAGCCAACAAGGTCAAATCGATCCAAGCCCAGCCTCACCCTCTACGATACTACAGTACTGGTACTTGTACGTACAAGTTCCGTACTCGAGTACCGACTCTCCTACGGAATTCATGCACACAAAACCGGTATCGGGGCACTGATACGGCAATCGGGAGGGGGAAGGGGGAAAAGTAAAACTAAGAAAGAAAGAAAAAACAAAAATAATAGGATAAAGCGAAAGTTACCCTATTCTCCCCAAACAGAGAACTCACTCACAGCTTTCCTTCCACCAACACCGAACTCTTGCTCTTTCCTCGTTAGTGAAATTACCACAACAGGCGATCATCTTGCTTCCTGCACTTGTCTGTCTGTCGCTTGTCTTCACACAAGTATGATACCGTAGGCAGCACGACTGCAGCAGAGCCAGCGGAGCCAAAGGGCAAGAACATCACCGCGTTCTTGGGTGTGTCTATTCTGTCAAGCTGCAGGACTCCGAGACTACCTCCCTTTCCCTACGAGGCCTGTCGCTGGTTGGCCGTTGCCCCGTTAAAACCGCTCCCTCCTCATCCACCTCAGTGGCCCTCACAAACTCTGGCCTCACTCTCCTTCGCTATTCTACTACCCACTGCCACTTCCACTGCCACCCTTCCTTATTCAATCCTTTGGGGAAGTGCCTTCGGAAGCTCACTATTTGTACTAACACATCGCCACCCAATTCTACCACGTTCCTTGTCGTCATCCCGATGGTTTGAGGATACCGCAATCTTCCACATTGTTATACTTTACCAGGTCACTAGTCATGAGAATCGCGTGCCTACAGGTAAGAAATAGCCAATGAGAGCTCTCTTGTCCATTCTTAGTCGCAACAGTTGTCGCAACAGTTTGTTCAACTTTGTTGCGCCTCTTTTTTGATTCACAAGAAGCTCACCACTGATCTGTTTGGACTTACTATAGTTCAGTCCCCGGCTGGGGAACATTGCGCGTAATCTTGAGAGGGCGGAGACCGTAATTTCTCGGGCCGAACCTCAAGATATAGACCTCCTAATCCTTCCTGAAATGGCTTTCACAGGTACGACAATTTGTCCCTGTGATGGTCGTGGTACATTTGTTGTTGTCCCCATTTCCCCACCCTTCCCCTCGGTGACTTTTTTCTTACTCATCTCTTTCTATCATTGCCCTTCTTACTAGCCCCAAACAAGTTTGGTCACATCACAACGTCCGCGATACATGGCATTGGCCAGCTGACAGCTCATATTTTCATTTCCAACCAGGCTACAACTTTAATTCCGTCAATGAAATAAATTGCCATCTGGAGCCAACAGCTGCAGGCCCATCCACGGTATGGGCTCGCTCAACTGCCCGACGCCTTGGCTGCTACGTAGCTTTGGGATACCCGGAATATTGCGCACACTCTCCCTCGTTGCCGTTGGGTCCTGTGTCGAGGTACAATTCCGCGGTGCTGGTGTCTCCCAAGGGAGACGTGCTGGCAAACTACAGGAAGCACTTTCTCTTTGCCACAGATGAGTTGTGGGCTGAGGAAGGACCGGAGGGGTTCTTCTCCGGGGACCTCCCCGATGGACTGGGAAGACTTGCAATGGGAATATGTATTCACCCTTATTTTCCCGCCTTGCATTTTTCGGAAAGCAATAGGGAATACCGGCAAAGCAAGAAGCGGGAAGGTGTGTGTGCTGGATGGCGTGGCTAATGCATTATTGTTATTATCCCCATAGGCATGGATTTGAATCCAAGACGGTTCGAAACCCCCTTCGAGAAGTATGAGTTTGCACATCACATACTCGATTCGAAAGCAGATATAGCCGTCATGCCTATGGCGTGGCTCACTTCCCAGCCTGCGGAATCCGTGGTAGATCAAGCGCAAATCCCCGACGCCGACACCCTCGCATACTGGATCCAGCGATTGCAGCCAGTCCTAGACCAAGGCGGCCAAGGCCAGTCGGGAGAAACCATATTCGCCGCTTGCAACAGAACAGGGACAGAACGTAATGCTTGTTATGCCGGTACCTCTGCTGTTGTGGGGGTGAGTAAGGGTAACGTGAAGGTGTACGGGCGCTTGGGAAGGGGAACGGAAGACCTACTTGTATGTGACGTTCCAGGGCCCGGGAAGAACTCGGCGGCCGAGTGGAGATGATCGAACCACCAAACGATGAGAAAGTCGAAAAGTGGATTCCTTCTTTTTTCCCCCTGCATATCAATAGGGGAAGAAATGATGGTGGGGCAAGTGATTAAAGAAAGAATGGGGGATAAAACCTCCTTTGGAAACAGCACGAGGCGGCATAGTATGCATTACATCCGGACAACTCACATCAATCACTCTAAAAAAACGCACTGGTACTACTCTTATCTTCTCTCCGTTCCTCCCCCATCCCTATCCGCAGCCGGAAAGGAGCAAAGCACAAAAAATATATCAACCCGTCGGCACCCTTATCTGTTCTTCGTCCGTCTCTCCCCTCGTTCCCTCGTCTTGAAGACTGGAGTACTGTTTTAGGCGTTTTTTATATCTCCACATTATATATTATATACTATAACGGCTTTCTTCGTTTTCTCTCACGAGTGAAATGGTTAATTTTCCTTTACTTGTTCTTCATTTGAAATAACTACGATCACCATGTTCCCCTTCCCTGCTCCGCTCATTTCCTTCCCTTTCTTTTCCTACTACCGTAACATACTGGTGTGGGCGCAAAAACAATTGCTTTTAAAGCGGGGGGTTGGTTACTTGGGGGTTTTTAGCCAGTTAGCCAGCTAGTCAAGCTACTGTACCGGCATGTTGGTGAGGAGGGAGGGAGGGAGGGGGCATCATCATCTCGCCGTAAACCTCCCAGGCGGAGAGAACACAAGTGTCCTCATCGCAAGATTATCTACAATACGGTACAGTAGCACTTACTCAACCCAAATTAGCCGTAACGGTACAGGGTACAGGACCGTACTGTACCGTCCCATCTCACACGAGCCCCGCGAAAATTCCCCTTCGGATTCCATAGATACCCTCTTTCGCCTCTCCCCCCTTCCCCCTTTCTAGATGACACCAGCATCAGAAGCAAAAGAAGGGTGCGAAAAGCAAGTACCAGTACGAGTACGCTACCATGTACCTACAAGTACCCTCCTTTGGTAGAAGAGTACAGTAGTGCTCGTGCGACGAGGAGGATATGTAGGGTTATATTACGTTATTTACTTTGATGCTTGGTTGTGCACACACATGGAAGTTGAGGCGGTTCTGAAAGGAAGGGGGGAGGGTAGGTTCGAGAGAGTTTTTTTTTCCTTGAAAGTGGTGATTGCGGATTGGGCTGTGTTAAACTAGGTATTGTGTGGTGCTCCTAGTTTATGCTTGGTCACTCAGTGGGCTTAATCGTGGAAATAATCACGGGACTCTTCAATTGTAGGATCATGGCACGGTGTATGCACAGTTGAAAGCAAGAGTCTGTGCTGGTTGTTTGTTTATTTGAACAATTGGATTTTGCGAAGGCTTAGACTATAATATCATGCTGCGCTGTAACTTACGTTCAAACACACAAACATAACCAGCCAAGCCGGCAGTTCCTCACCCATTCGACGAATTGATCGATTGATCGATTGGATTGATTCGACAAATAAACAGAACACATGACGTTGAAAAAAAAAAAAAAAAAAAAGCACACAACATACAAAGAATAACAAACAGCATAACAGAATAACAAAACATAATACGGCAGGGGATGGGTGGATGGGATGGGAAGTTCGGCGGGGGGTGACAAACATATGTACCACGAAGTGATGGAAGAATATTTCATAATGAAATAATGGATAAAAAAAGCAGCAGAACAATCGTAACGTGACGGAGCAACAGAAATGAGAGGGAAAGGAAACTAAACAAGCAGGAGGTACTGCAAGTAAGGTTATAGAAAAGGAAATGGAAAGGGGGAAAAAAAAGGAGAGTATTAACCAAGTAACGACCGCTGCAAACCGACGTAAAGAGTAATGCCAAACGGGATATACTCGAGAAAATGCAAAAAACAAAAACACGACAAAACGGCAAGACAAAAAAGGAGCTGGCGAAACGTGAGAAAGAAGGAGCTAGTATCATATCTTGGTAGGCAGGAGGGACACAGGTACGGAGGTAGGGAGTTTATATGGTAAATGTCAGTTAATTCAGAGCTAGAGTTAGGAAATAAAACAAAAGACCACCCAAAAATCCTCCCGTTATACCACCAGGACGCGAGAATGGAGATGGAAAGGAAGCGAGGGGAGAAAAAAACCAAACCCGGACTTTTTATATCAAGACATTATGGGGCCGTCCGGAGTAGCAAGATAAAATTGTAAACACCGCAGACATGGCACTTTTTAACAAGAGAAGAAAACAAACACCAGGCAAGTGAGAAAAAAGGGGCATGAAGCGGAAGGGCAAACAAAAACACAAGTCGTGAGAATAGGACAAAAGCCAGCTTCTTCCGTGAGCTACAAATTTCCTCGCACGTCACGTGAAAACCAGACAATGAATGGACAAGAAAAAAGAAAAAATGGCAAGGTGACAAACTCAAAAAAAAAAAAGGAAAGGAAAGGAAAAACAACGCATGGATGAATAAGGGCCCTGGAAAAAGCTCCTAGAAAAAGGGAGATGGCACAAAGCGGAAAGAAAGAAAACAATCTGTCGGTATCAAATCGCCTCCCTACCCGCCGATACTCCAAAGAGAATTTTAAACAGAAACAAAAGGACAAATTCCCGCAAGTCCAGATTGGAAAATATTTGCTTTTTTGGGGGGGGTAACAAGAACCAAACACCAAAGAAAATCCGTCTTAGGCTTTCGTAGAGTATTCATGACGGTGATGAATGTTTCTTCGTATCCTCAGGGTGTCTTCATAGCCATCGTAACCGTTGTATCATCATTATTTCGCCTTCGCAATCCATTCCTTTGCATGTCCTCATAGTTCCTGAGTTCCACACACTCGCACATCGATTCCAACTCTTAACAATCAAGCCGCGAAAGATATGGCCTAATGTCACGATGAGCCTCCAGGCTGACCACCACCCTCTCTAGTCACACCGGCCTGCAAACAGCTCTTCTTCCAGGTTTCCGCCTCCCTCCAAGCGCGCTCACACTCCTTCTGTAGCTTTTCGTTGTTAGCGCTCAGCTCTGCAATGGCTTGCTCCGTTAAGATCTTCTCAAGAGTCCATTTCTCAATATTGGACGCTTCACTCTCTTTAAGTTGCTGGATGTATTGAACGGCGCGCTGGAGAATAGACCCCTTGTTTTTCTCGCACCCCGGAACAATCTTCGCTAATTCATTGATTCCTTCGTTGATTGTCTCCCTGCGGCGACGCTCCACTGGTTTATTCACATAAAAATGTTAGGCATGGTTTCCTCCCATATCTAGCCACGCAGGGAAGATGATAAAAACTCACCCTCTTTATGATTGTCCCTCCTGACTCTGTGCCACTCCTCGGTCCCGACTTGTGGTTTTGGATTGCTGGATGGACCCTGTGGTGACCCATGGCTGTGATGCGAATGTCCGTGATTACCAGGGGGTGGGACGTGACCTCCGCTCCCGCCAACTCCCTCAGTGTGCGCTTCCACTGGGGGAGGTGATAACGCACCAAAGCCGCCATCTAGAGGATGTTCCTGACCCTTCCCGCTACCGCTCCCATCTCCTTGGGAAAACCCTAATGGCGTTGAGGAAGGCATATGGGGCAACATGCCACTCATTGCACTTGCAGCGGCTAGAGCAGCATTTGCGGCCTCGGCACTAGTGGAGCCATTCATAGGGACGGCAGATGGATGAAAGGTGTAGGCAGGACTAGGTGAAGAATTTTGTTTGGAGTTTGTATTCACAGGCATAAAGGATCCAGAGTTGGAAAGGTTTGGGGAAGCTTGTTTAAAAGAGGATCGGCGACCACTATTACTTCCCTCCCGTACAGACCTCCCTTCATCTCTACTCTCGGAATCGTCGATCGAGTCTCGCTTCCGTTTGTGGGAAGCTGACGCGTTGGAGAGTTGTGGTGACGTGGATGCAGAAGCGCCGGTGGGCGGTTCCTGGAGGTGAGGGACTGGTGTTGTCTGTTGTGGTTGCTGGCCGTCACCCAGCGGTTGTTCATCGTGATAAAGATTGTGTTGCTGGTCGCCCATCGGCATTGGTTTGTAGCGCCTGTCCTTTCCGACTGGAGCGGACTGCTGTTTTGAATTATGTGTCGTATGCTTTGATGATGACAGAGCGCAGCAGTAGATTATTAAGATTCCCAAGGTTTTGGAGTTTAAATGGGTTCCTTTAGAAAATTAAAGGGTTGAAAGAAGGGGGAGGAAAATAATGAGGGAAGGAAAGCCGGGGGTGGGGTGTAGGGGGGGGGGTTGTAAAATCCGGACGGAGCTGCGCGTTTTAATTCGGAAGAAAAGTTAGGCAACTTGACACAAGATAAATGTCAACACGTGATAGGAGCGGACAGTCACGGGGACGTCTGGGCAGAGAGGTTCGAAGCCCCGCGACCTTGCGGTGGGGTGCGTAGAGTGGTTTGTCCGAGACGGTGCAAAGAGTAGGAAAAGATGTAAGAGGCTGGAAGGGCAAAAGTTGAAAACGTGAGAGGGATAGGCGGGAGTGAAGTGGGGGGTGGATGTGGTGGGGACACTGTAAATATTTCGGGGGGTGGGAGGATAAAAGGAAAGAAAGACGAACGAACGGGGGGTTTGTTGTCTCTTGACGGGAACAAACGTTATTATTGTGGAGTAGGGAGCGGGAAGCAGGGAGGGATGGATACATGGAGAACATATGAATGGGAAATGGAAAGCATGAACGAAAGCCAACGGACGATGGCTGGCTTAGGGTCTAGCGAGAGGAGGGAAGGGGCAAGGGGAGGGGATGGCTGTGGGCAAGAGACAGACGGACAGAGTGGCAGAGACCGGAGAGGAGAGGCGAAGAGGAAAGGTATGATAGAAGGAAAATGTGGAAAAGAAAAGTGTGGATGTAAATGTGTGGTATTGCAGCACCTTTAGTCCAGACTCTCATTTTCTCAATCCTCTCATTCTCCACATCCATCTATCTCACTTTCATCTTTCTCTTCCCCCCATCTCTCTCTCTCTCTCTCTCTCTCTCTCTCTCTCTCTCTCTCTCTCTCCCCTTCCCTCTGCTTCTTCTCCTCTGCCACAACTGTGGATGCTTATTCTGCCAATGGGAAAGGGAAAGGATCAAAAAGACAATGAATTCGGAAACAGTAGAAGCAATGAACTATAGGGACAGAAACACTAAACTTACCTCAAGATTCTAGACCTCCTGTGTGCCCTTTCCGCCAGATTTTCCTGATGCTGCGTCTGTTTTCTGATGGTTGATGCCGCTTTTGATAGAGTTTCAATTCGAAGGTTTTAAGCTTCTCAAAACCCAATCCCGAGTCTTGATTTGGATGGCGAAGTTGATGCTGTCCCGCTCACACCTTCTCACTCCGTATCTCGCCCTCTCACTCGTCGCGTCTGATCACTTCTTGTTCTCCCTACCTTGCACCCTAAATATTGTAGCCGAAGGAAGGTCGTTGCGACGCAAAGGGAAAAACGTGATGTGGTGGGCCGTGCGAGTATGGAATAATAAATAAAATAAAAAAAAACAATGATAGGGAAAGGGAAGAGCCCAGGGAATAAAAAAAAAAAAAAGAAAGATGGCTGTGCGTGGATGACTCCGGAGCTTCCCTTTTATGATAATTTACCTTTGGCTTTAATTCTCGATCTGGAACCAAGAGCCCCAACCAGCGATCCCCCTTGAAGAATTGTCAAAAAGGAAAGAAAAAAGAAAAAGTTTCGTAAAATAAGAGTGAGCAGAGAGCAGAAAACGGTAGGGATATGATCTGAAAGTTAGGAACAGGTGAGAGGACAGAAAAACCCACAGAAAAAAAAGGAAATTTTTAGGAAAAATGCGAGCGAGTCGATAACGGTCGCGATAGAGGCTCGAAATCAAGGTGTGTTGACTGAGCGGCCAGAAGGAAGGAAAAGCGTATTATACTGATTATGTGGAAGGATCGCCGGGGGGGGGCGAGGGTGGTTGATCAAAAGGGAGGGTGGGAGGAGTGTGTGAGGGACAGACAATTGCGGTTCGAAAAAAAAGGTGGGCGCGCGGAGGATTAATGATGGCACCAGACGAATCGAGGAGGAGATGTCAAACAAGGTACAGTGCTGTGAGTACGAGTACAGTGCCGTAAAAGAGTTGAAATCCAAAACCGAATATTGTTTCTTCTTCTTCTCTAAATCTTGACACCCACTCCTTTTTATTTTCTTTTAAATCTCAGCCTTGTATTACACTCAGAATCTGAGCTACGATCTAAGGCTTTTGATCTCTTGATATGTCTTTCCTCTCTTCAGGTTCGAGAAAGCTCAATGTTTCCCACTTTCTCCTGTGAGGGTGGCTGGAACTCTTTCGGGGGGGGGGTGAATGTGGATAATAGAGGGGTCAGGTGAGCGCGTTCCAAAAATGCTTGCGCCTAGAGTCTCGCTTGAAGTGATATAAAATACCTACAATTTGACCATTTTCAGAACGCGCCAATATCAATGATGCATCCCCCGTTCAACTTTTTAAATTCAAAATCATGCCAAAAAAAGAATTCGATAATGGGAAGAAGAAAAAAAGGGAAAAAAGGGGGCTTCAGGCAAGGGAATAAAAAGAAAGAAATGGAACGAGAGAAAAAGCAACTAAAAAATACTTTTTACGATTTTGAAGGGGGGGGGGGTAAAAGGAAAAAAAAAAAAAAAAAAAGTGACTCGCCGGTAAATCATCAACTTCTGTAACCTCGACCGTAACTCTACTAGTACCGTAGCTAAGAGCTGCACCTCAAACATCCCGAATCGCTTCTTCCTCTTTTCCTCCCTCATTCTAGCTTCAAAACAGGTGCTCTCGCCCCTCCCGCTTGACCTATCAGATATGTTACCAGAATACAAACATTTCGGTACCTTTGTCGGTACGCAGTAGTGAGTGACTATTGTAAGTGTGTACTCACCCCATACCATTAGGCAGCGATGTGGATGTTAACGCATGTGTATTTTCATGTATGGTGGATACGTCCATCGTCGCCATAGGCGCCTGGAAAGTCAACTTGCGGACAAACGACCCTCTCCACCCATATTTTTTTATACCTTTCTATTCATTTTTCCCTTTACACGAACTATGATGATCTTGGGAAATACAGACAAAATTCGAGTAGAATTGAAGGCAAATGTAGTCACTTGCGTCGTAGGAAGAAAGAATAACTTACCACTCTTTAAATAAAGGCTCACCCATAAAAGAGGCTTTGGGGCTTAAAAAACCAATAGCTTATCAAGAAAACCAACAAAGGCTTCACAGATATTCGCCAGATCAAGTTAAATCATAGCCCGATACGTGTCTAGAAATGAAGGATCCCCCCCTCAACTCCGCAAGAGTTGGCGAGACTCTCCAAAATCTTTTTTTTTTTCCCCAATTTTTTTTCCCCAATTTTTTTACCTATTGAATTTTGAACATGATCCATGCGCAGGATACTTTATTTCCTGATCTTCGTCTCCTCGTCTTTTCCTCGGATCATCACTTGCCAGGTTTGCCTTACTGACATGCATTCTGTGTTCCCTTTCTGTTCTGTACTTATCCTGCCTCTTCGACCTCACCTCCCCGGCAACTGTACTATGTACCAGCTGGACTAACTTACGCCTCCCCCTTTTCAATAATTGGCTAGATTTTTTCACAATCATCGAGTACAGGAAACCCGGTAGTACAAATAAATAGACTCACCCAGACCGCCCGACCAGCCAGCCAGCCAGCCATATGTAGGATGAAAATAAAATAAAATAAATACTAATATTTAAATTCTTTGATTTTTACCTGACCTGACCGAGCGTGGGGGAGGAGTGAAATCGTCTATGCGTGCCGCTAGACGTACACTCTACCGCAGGATAAACAGGTCAAATAGAAGAAAAATAATGAAATGATTCCACTGAGACTCTTATCTCCATCTCCAAATGAACCACGTGCAGGTCGGCCTACTCTAAGTAGGTAGGCAAGCAAGCAAGGCAGGCAGGCAGGCAGGCAGGCAGGCAGGCAGGCGGTGTAAGCCATGGAGGAAGGTGGGAAGGTAGATCAATCCGGGCAGGATGGAAATTATCGAAATAAAAATAAAAAATAAAAAATAAAAAATAAAAAAAATAAAAACCCGCCACTGAACGGTCTATCACCACGTGCTGTCAAGAAAACCCATACTGTAGCGGCTAGCAAGGACGCCTCGCAGCACCAAAACCAAACCATCACGTTCGTATTTCTCACACACTCTCTCTCCCACCTCTTGTTCATTATCCCTCTTTCACATACCTACACCCATATCACTTGATACCCCTCCAATCCTGGACCAGTTTACTTATTCCTGAGACCATTAGAACAAGCGACACCGTAAATTTAGGTATTATATCTGCCGGAACACAAAGCCCATAGAGCAACCTAGCCCACACACTGTTAACCACGGTGCTCTCTAAGCTAAGCCAAGCCCATCATCGCTCCAAAAACCTGATCGGTGATCAAAAAATGAAGAAAAAATAAAATGAAATAAAATAAAACACCCCCGGACATACATAGCTAACCAGTTAGTCTAAAAGTCTAAATAAATAAATCATACTATGATACATAGCTCGGCCGATCTCTGCGCATGGGCGGATGTGTGGCCGCTTAGCAACTCGTCCCCCCCATTGCCTTCTCGTGCTTCCCCCTCCCATACAAACCCCCGCTTGGTGGTTGGTAACCGGATCATAGTCCATCACTCGTACATGTCTTCCACAGAGGCCCCCTCCCTCTTCTTTTTCCTCCCCCCCCGCCTCTCTCTCGCGCGAATATTTTGGATAGCGAGGAAGGTGGGAGTGAGGGATGGTATGTAATCGCTTGCAGATTTTCGATGACGATCGAGAAGAAGAAAAAAGATGCTGTCGGGTGGGAATATCCTGGGTTGAAAGAGGGGAGGGTTGGCGAGAGGGGTGGACTTAAGGTGGGTTGTTGAAACGTCTTTCCCCGCAGTGGATGCCTGGCGGTAAAAGGGGGAGGGTTTGGGGAGAAGGGAATCAAAGCGATGGGTTTTACTGGCAATTTATAGACCGGCTTGGATCGATCGATTGATTTCTTCCGGACTTACTGTGAGAATACAGAGAAGGGGGGAGGCGGATCCGAGACGGGTGAGTGTCCTGCTGTGACTATTGGTGCTTTATTTGATGGGTTGAGAAGCTGAATAATAGGAGTGACAGGAGCTCGTCATCGTGGATTTCAGCGTTATGGTCACCATGAAGATGAAGAGCCACTGGCTTTTCTTCCATCTTCCCACTTCTGCTAGAATCCGTGTACCGTCCCCCTGATCCTCACCGCCCCTTATCTATCTCCCATATTCAAGCTTCGGCCACAATCCTCCACCCGTACAATCACCTCCATCCTCATTCCATCCTGGAATAAAACCCTCCAGGCATTCATCCGTTTCCGAACATACGCCGAGAACCGCAGCTACCTAACGATGAAACGGGAGGGAAGGCTAGGATTTCAGCAGGAGCCGTTCCCTCCGAACCGCCGCCCTCGGATGCTTTTAGAAAATTTAGAGGGGGACGAAAAATAAATAAAAAAAAACTACCTCTTCTGGACTCGATACCCCATTCTTCCCCTGTCCTTTATCCCTCCTATCTTACAACTAACTCTACGGGAACCTTCCGACATCTGCTGACCAAGATTGTGTTATCAGCCCTTGGGCGTCAAGGTTGAGAGACGGGGCGAGAACAACGAAGACGAACATGCGGGGGGAGTGGGGAATGGTTAATTTCACCACTCAAAACGGGTGAACCTACCACTGTACTAGTACGAAATCCTACCCAACAGTCAAGGAACTGGAACAAACATGGATAACAAGAGTTGGATAAGATAATATGATAAAGTCTCCCGGGACTAGAAACTTTTGCGTATCTAGGATAACGGCAAGCCCTACCGCAAGGGACGGTAATCAAACAAAACCTATGGATCTCGAGTACGGTGTCCCCGTTACTCAAAAACGGGCTAACAATCACCAGCCAATCATGAGTCTGGACTACTATTTCCTCAACAACCCATTTTGGGGGGCGGGTTGGAAAAAGAATATACACAAAATGTATTCTCAGCAAAAGAAAGCAAAAAAAAAAGGGAATCCCGCTCGAGTTAAGCCGCTAACTGAACCATAGGGTGAAAGCCGGATTTCGATTCGATGCCTAAGTCACGCTTCAACCCCCTACTTCTTCCGTCGCACCGCTCCAAGCTTCTTCCTCCAGGCAAGATATCATACATACATTGCATACGGATGTACTTCTCCTGAGCCAAATCAAACCAAAAGAAAACCCTACAAACCACTCTCTGCCTGATTATTTCCAGGCACACTCATCATCGCCGGGGGGAGGATAAGTTACTCTAGAGTGCTCGAGTACATACAGCAGTCGATCACTTCGGTAAAAACAAACAAAACAAAACAAGAAAAACAAAAAACAGAGAAACCTCCCCATTTAGCAATGCATGCATACCGCTACTAGTAGCAAGGAATTATCCTCTGGCTCTTTGGAACTTACCATTACCCCTATTATTGTACGATATTCATTCCCTTCCTTCCCCCTGCTTCGCTGCGGGAGCACTTAACTTGCACGATATTATTACATATATACACTTACGAGCAATCTTAAATTAGCGAACTTTTTTTCTTCTCTCGCTCAGTTCCTGCACACTGTTATGTTCGGCGTTGTCCAGACTCAGGAGGGGATTCAATTGCCGGTTTATCCTTTATAGGGGGGAAGTCACAGTATTAAAATAGAAACAATGTCAGAAAGAAAAAAGGCAAAGAAAGGTAGAGCAAAGAGGGAAGCTGCAATGTATACCCCTTTTTTGCTCCACGGTGCGGGAGATGGAGAGGGGTTAGGGATTGCCGA